CATATCACTGGTCATCTGAAATCAAAACAATGACTAAGCATATCACCATCAATATTTATTCCTTTACTTTCCCATTCCAGTGACTTCAAAGCAGGTTCAAGTACAGTAATGAACAACTTAGGCGACCTAGTATCTCCCTGTCGAATATCTCTCCTGATATGTATCTTATTGGTAGGACCATGCAGATTTATAGTTGATGTAGCATTTCTGTATATATTATAATATTTTCTATAATATTGGTGTACCTATGATCAATTCGACACTCTTCCAATGCCTTTAGAAGTGCGGGTAGTTCGATAGTATCAAACGCTTTATGGAAGTCTATAAATGTTAGTACTAGAGGTCTATTGTATTCAATTGATTTTTCAGTCAAGACTTTTATGCACTGTAGGTGGTCATTTGTACCGTAGTTGAGGCGAAAACTAGCCTGTTCTCTTGGCTGATATAGCTCAAATTTTGCTTTAAATCGATTGGTTATTATTTTGGTGTACAGTTTGTATAAATGGTTGAGTAGAGAAATTGGCCTGTAATTCTCTAGGTTTACGTTGTCACCCTTTTTATGCAGAAGAATTGTAATGGAGTTATTCCAAGGTATAGAAATTTTTTGACTATACAAGCAGATATTGAAGATGTCGCGTATTTTTTTCAGAAGAGAAGTTCCGCCAAGTTTTATAGCTTCTGTAACTATTCCATCATCTCCTGGCGCCTTGTTGTTTTTAATTTTTTTGAGTGCATATTTTATCTCATCTTGAGTAATTTCTGGAATGTCCTCAGATCCCTGGTTTTGAACCTTTTGTCTACCGTCTTCATTTACGTTATTGTTGCAATATGGTTTGTGTATAATATAGTGTAGAATTTCCTAATATCTCTTCTCACAGCTTTCGATATGTCTTTATTGAGTGCCCGAATGGTTTGTGGGTCAATGTCCCTTTCACTTTGTAACTGTCTTCTTTCTGTTATTTTTAGTTATGTTTTTAAAGTGATCTTTTGATCTCGTTTAGTCTTTGGGCAAAGACGTGCTTGTGCCAGTTTAAGTGTATCAACTATTTGTTTGTTCAACTCACCGATATCGTTTGGTATTATGCTGTGATCAAGAGTGTTGTTAATGTAGTCTCCAAATGCTGTTTCGTCTTGTGAGCGTGTCCAGTGAGAGTATTTCTTTTTTATTATATGACTTCTATCTAAGTGAGTAGATATTTTAATGGTAGCTATAACCATCCTATGGTCAGAGTTTGTCGAGAATCTATTAAGAACTGTCACATCTTTAAATATGTATTTTTTATCTGTAATAGCGTAAATCTATTTCGGAACATCTAGTGTGCATATCAAACTAACCTACCGAAATTAAAGAATCACGACTGTTGACTATAATTAAACATAAACAACATTTGTTAATGTATCAGTGAATGTTTATGACATTCACTATATAGTGTTGGATAGCTTAATTTTGACGAAATGCCCCTGAAGTTTCTCTAAGAGCGAAAGTACTTGGGCAAGATTTAATAAAAACTGTGCTCGATATCTGCCTTTTATATTATTTCACAACGTTAGCGTATGCCGGTATACGTCGAAATATGTTTACATATAAGTTCAGTTAGGTTAGGATAGTACAAAAGAGGCGAAAGAAGTTCAAGGCTTAGAAATGACAAACACAGGAAACAGGACTCGAGAGCTGAGGGTGTTTCAAACTAACGTGGGAACAGCAAGATTAGCACATAATCTTGCCGAAGGCTGCCGCAGTAGAAAAGAATATCGATGTGCTGGTGACAGAGAAATCAAATCCAATAGCGGTGAGGAGAAGAGGATGGTTTGTGGATACGACCGGGAGGGCCGCTGTACGAATCTACTATAGGAAGCTGCGAGTGTATGAAATTAAACCGAAAGGATATGTGATTGTTCGGATGGAAGTGGTGCGGCTAGTCTGCTGTTATATTTCTCCAAACGTGACGGTGGGCGAGTACAGGATGAAGATGGACGAGATCATGCAGGAAGTGGGAAACACAGGAGGAGAATACGTAGTGCTGGCAGATTCTAACGCAAAAGCAGAGCAGTAGAGATCTCCCATCACCGACACTCGCGGCAGGATAGTGACTGACTGGGTGGGTACTCTAGACCTAGTGGTTCTGAACACAGGTCTGGAGCCTACGTTTGTTAGGAGAGGTACGGGTACGTACATCGACGTGACCATGGCGACACAAGGAATAGCGGCGAAAGCAAGAAGCTGGAAGGTTTTGTCAACTAACGCGATCCGTGCGTCCGGGATGTCGAGGGGCGGATGCGGCGATTGGAATGACTGGAAAGTATACGAGGAGATGATTAAATGGGGAGTGAGCATAATGCAGGATCAATCACCGACGGTGGAAAACCTGGAGACAGTTACTAAAAAAGCGATGGAAGGAAGCAAGATGTCAACAGGTCGCCAAGATGTCAACAGGATGCCATACTGGTGGCATGCAGACATCGAGACACTAAGAACAGAATCAACCCTGAGGTCATCGAGGAAGAGTAACGCGCAAGGAAGAGGGAACTTTACAGGAAAATCCGTACAGAAAAAAAGGCACTGGAAAGAGCTGTGTGAAAAGTTTAATGAAGACATCTGGGGTCAGGGATACAAGATCGTCATAAAGAAATTCCATGCATATCCTCCTTACGAAATGCCTATGGACAAGAAGTTTGAGGTAACACGTGACCTCTTTCCGGACAGCAGATGGCATGGTGTGTGGAGCGATGAGAGAGGTGAGCAGACCGTACCCATTACCACGGATGAACTTGTCGAGGCATTGCACAGAAAAGCACGATTGATGCATACGTGAGTGTATTCGAAGCATTGCGCAACAGAGGGGATGAACATCGCTGGGCGGTCTTGCTGTTGTTCGATGTTAGGAATGCATTCAATACACTGCAGTGGAACGAGTTAATAGAGGAGAGAGAATGTTCTGGTTACCTGATTAATGTGGTGGCGGAGTATCTGTCCGAGAGAAGGAATATGGTGGAAAAGGGCACGATCGTGGAAGTGACGGCCGGGGTTCCCCAGGGATCTGCCTTGGGCCCGACACTGTGAACCCTGGCATATGACTTGTTTATGAACTGTGGATACAGAGAGCACCTAGGAGTGACAATGCACCAGAATGGAAAATAGGGGGAGCACGTGCGGGAGGTAGCCCGGAAGGCTGCGAATTGTGTGGCTGCGTTGGAGAGAGTGCTGCCCAACATTGGGGGATCCAAATCCGAAAGGAGGAGGTTCTTACACGGTGTTGTACAGTCGATCGTTCTCTACGCGGCACCAGTCGGGAGTGGGGCGGTAGAGAAAACGGCCTAAAGAAGGCTCATGATACGAGTGGATAAAACAAGTCTGTTGCGAGTTGCATGCGCCTATAGGACTGTGTATCCGGCACTTGTGAACCGTCAATTAAAAGGTCCGCACCGTGTGAACCGTGAAAGGTCAATTAAAAGATGGCAAGAAGAATGGAATAACACGGAGGATGTGGCACAGTGGACGAAAATGCTGATCCCGAACATAAGAGATTGGGTGGACTGTGGCAACAGGTGACTGGATTATTTCCTGACGCAGGTGCTCACGGGACACGAGTGTTTTAAGGCCTACGTCTCTAGGTTCGTAAAGACTGACACAGATGAATGCCTATACTGTGGACACTCAGACACTGTGACACATACGAGTGCAACAAATGGGTAATAGAAAAGAACAGAATGGAAAGAGATGCAGGTGTGAATTTTGTTACAGTGAGAGAAATGATTGAGAAAATGAATGAAAATAAAGCGGGTTGGACTAGCGTACACAACTATATTCATACAGTGATCAAGAAAAAAGAAGAAGAAGAAAGACAGCTGTACCGACGGCAAAGGTAAGAGGGAAAGATGCTGGATGTTGAAACTAGAAAAGTGGGCCAGACTGTATAAGTTAGACTGCATTAGTCAGACTGTGGGACGGAGGAAATGCTTGTCTGGGAGTGATGCCGTACTAGGAGCGATGAGGGTCTTCTACGCGCTACCTGGAAGAGACTGGGAGTCTCCCTGCCGATGAATGGAGTGTGAATGTGTATGAATGAATGAAGATACTGCTTTGAAAGTGATGCCGGCCTTACAGCGGCCATTCCGCTTCTAGATCGCTGGATGACAGAGGAGGGTCTGGTTTAGCAGGTCGGCGTTCGGCGTAGACTCGGCGACGAGAGGGCATTTCAAAGTACTTTGGGAACTATCGCGCCGGGAGTACGAAGAACGAATCCTGTACTAAGGTCAGTCAGGCGGCGTCCTGGACTGAGATGTCTTTTGAAGATTCCAGACCCCCCTCTATAAAGACAATCAAAGAAAAAATCAAAGGTGAGGTTAGGATACAACCAAATAAAATATAGTGAATTTAAATACATTTTATTATGAGTTCATTTAACTAAAGACTGAAAGGCACCTCATCCTATAACCATACAGCTTTCCCACATGTCATGAAAATGATTCATTGCTTAGTTTCTCGTGGTTTAAGTGAAACAAGAAAAATATAAATGTGCATGTGTGATTAAATTTATGAGTGCCTATTACTTTATCCATTGGTCTAATTAAGACTATAGTTAAACCACCTAAATCAACAAACAACTCACTCTACATTAAAAAAATTTATTTAACAAATTTTCTGTTCGCAAAATTTATGTCACTGATTATATTTTGCAGCAAGTGTCTTTAACAGATTCTTTAAAGAGATTTTGGCAATGATAGTTTTATTTTTTCTGTGCAGTTGACAGGCTTAAATTGAACAAAGTGTAGTTATGATCTTAGCTAAATAATAGTACAGTATTTTTAAATTTGCCTAAGTGAAGAATTAATACACTACATATCAGTAAGGTGTTAGTATATAACTTACTACATAGCTTTAAGAACACAGTATGTAACATACAATTGATCAATAAGATAGCTTCTTGCCTTATATACCCCGAAATAGAGTAAATAATCTAAGAAAAAGAGTAGATTAATAAAAAAACTGCATTGCTCACCTTGATAGTTAAACTTATTTTTTCTACGGTAAGATGTGTGCATTCTGCGTTCCAGTTATCTACATATTTACCCTGAATATGACTTAAATACTTTTTTAAGGCTTCTTTTTGAGTGGTAGGTTGCTGGGTAGCTGTAGTAACAAGGTTCATTTTTCTAAAGCTAAAATCAAATATACATAATTATTATGTAGTTATATTTTTAAAAACACTGATATTGTCATCATGTGTGCTTACTACCAAAAACCTTTCCATTGGCCAACTGATTTGAAAATCCATAAAATCGCACTACATTACCTTCTTCCAGTCTTTCTTGGGATACTAAATTAGATATCAACTAGACCTAAGTAAACAGATCAAATGCAGAATTGAAGTAGCTCTCATAATGCTTCTATAAGCCGTGCTCCTTTAACCACAGCTTAAACCTAAAATTATGCCAAGGAATGATCAAATGATATATTTGATCAGTGTTGTGTTAAAATAAGAAAAATTTCATACCTAGGGCATGTTCTTGGGAAGATCGGTACATAATTCTTCAGTTTATCTAGAATTGAGGGTCTTAGAGGAATTGGAAGGAATCAGATGCCATTTGTTCAAGAACATTCGCAACTAGACAGGAAAATGCAGTGCTCAACAATTATTCCGATTAGCAGAAAACTGTGAACAACTTAGCAATGTAATTGCCAAAGTTAGGGGGACCTAATATGCTACCAAAAGAAGAAGTAACTATACAAATCAGTTAATTAAATTCAGGACATTGAGGTCGTTGCTGAAACTCATTACCGTGAACAATTCAATAACGAAGGAAAATTGCATTTAAATAGTCGGTTATACACAGGGAAAATGTGCACTTGTACCGATCTTCTTAAAGACCAGATCAATAGGTTCTTGGACCACTTTGTAGTATAGATTAGAAACTAGCGAATTAGGTAAATAACAAACTAATTACTTCAATGATACGTGAGATACTTGTTGTGGAGTATATTGTTTGTATATATTAAACTTAGTGTCAAACATATAGATGTAAATGTACAAGTTAACTACTATGATGAGCACCCAATAATAAGTTACTTCCAGGTGAGCATGTATAGATGCTGTGAGAGATACATAATTATGATGAAGCAATAATTAACAGTATAACATGTTGTTAGTGTCCAGATCATTAAATTCAGACAAAAAGCAGTTGGTAATCAAAAAAAACAATATCTTTCTCAAGATGTATTGGATGCTCTTGGATCTCATCTGGATTGATATTATCCCAAATTCAATAATTCTGTTTATTGACATAGCTATTCATAAAAAAATTAGTCTCAATGCTGAATATGATTTTTTGATTAAAATAGGGATCAGTTTCCAAGTGCCCCAGAGTCCATTTAGTGAACACTGATCTATTGAATTTGGTATGGGTGCAGGTGCAAAATTTGGCAAGTTGTGGTCTGTAAAAGGCTTGTAAATGACATGAAATATGCTGCCTAGGATTTTTCACAGCAGCGATGTTTTCTACAGATCTTACATTTCACCAATGCATGGGTGTTGGTTAATTGTTTACTGAAGCAGTGACCAGCCCCAAAAGATGACTACTGATCTAAACCAAGTGTAATTGATTCGTTATATCATTTCAAACAAAAACCTAAACAATCTTTTTTATGAGTGGCAGATAATGTGTTATTAACAATTTATTGTAAAATAAAAAAAAGTTAAAATAGGTATTGCAAACATTTTTCCATGGTAAATTTGGCAAAAATAAACACTTTTTGCCTCTTGGCATTCTTTTATAAAGCAGCTTCTTCACATTATTAGTGATTTATGGGTGAAATCAGGTCAAAAGTCGATATTGTGGAATTTATTTTCTATAAATATTTTTATTTTGTACAATAAATAATTTATTAATTATTTATCAATACATTATATGGTAAATAATTAAATATTGATTGGCGTTAAGTAATTAGTTTTAAAGTTTTATTTTATGTTTGCTTACTACTTATATTGGCTATGAGCATATGTGCTTGGCTGTATAGTAACTATAGGTTATACCACGAATATACGACTGTTTGGAATGATTGCTACAACGAATATTTTACTGTACAAGTAGAAGTATGAAAGTAAATTGGTCAATTATTATTCCATAAAAAAAGATCTTCTGTTACTATGACATATAAACTAAAATTATTTCAGTTAATAGATGTTCAGATAGACGCAAAATTTATTGTGAAAATTAATCCAAAAATAACAAAAAAATTTACGTAAACGCTCCTACAAATAAATACAATGACCTCAATGAAGTTAAAATGTGTTCATCAGCCATTTGGGTTGGATTTCGGTGAACTGTAAACACCAAAGAGGCGCGCCAGGTATCTTTATTACTTTATTAGGTACTACAACGGTAATAAAAAGAAATATATTATTTTTAATATAAATAAAAAGAAATTGGCAGAACGATGGTTCAGAAACCAGAAAAAGAATCTAGTATTCCACTTTGTTAGTTTTTTTTTTTGATTTGAGTGGATATACTCTTAAAATTTCCGAAAGTAACGGGTTTAACATGGCGGCTATTGATAGTTAAAGTACCGAGTCATTACAGATATTAAAAAGTAAAGAAAATTTACATACAGTTTCATAAATCGCAGACTGATTGTAGTTTTAAAAACCGTCCTTATAGAGGTGTCCGGTGAAGAGATGTGTCCGTTAAGAGAGAGTTTAGTCTAGTGTATTTGTTTGTAATGGTGATTAGGAGAATAAGAGTAAGAGTCAGTTTTTTTGTTTTTTTAATACTAATTGAATATTCGACTTAATAAATTAAACTATTTAATCACTTAAGTATTGTTACACTTCGTTTAAATCACTTAATTCAAAAACCAACTTGTTTACAATACTAAAGTCAATGAGAGTAATTATACCAGTATACTTCAAAATCTGAATTACAACTATTGTATAAACTATCAATTCTATATTTAGATCATAAATTCATATTTAAATCTAAGGTGTATATCTGTCATAACAGTATTTTAAAAATAGGGAGAATTTACCATTGTACAATTCAGCACATTGGACCATTTAAGTCGGCACCTTAAAGCGAATTTAAAACAGTCGTATATTCGTGGAATGGAGTATACCAGCCACTTCTAGTGTGCCAAAATGTAACTAACTTCACAAAAAAATAACCATGTAAGTATTATACATATATTATAGAAATTTATTACAAAAAATTAGCATTATAGAATTTTTCTTGGCAGAGATTCGAACAGTAAAGTGGGATATCTTTTACTGTCAGTGAAACAGAGTACTCAGTTAATAGTAGTGAAATGCAACATTTTATTATTCCATCATTGGTTTGGATCTAAATAAATTTGTGCATTATAACAAAATAGTATGTATTATATCCTATCTTCATCAAAAATATATCTACATTTTTTCTGGTTACTAAATTATTACAATTCAACCATAATTTGAATCTATTGCATATATACTTGGTTTATATTTATATACAATATAGGTTATAAGACAGTTCTGCCCATAAAAAACTAACTGTGTGGCTTATATTGTAAAGTTAAAACATAATTAGGTGTTACCTGTTACAGAAATTAAAACATTTGGACATTGACCAATTTAAAACCAAGCTACTTACAGTGCTGCAATGAAAAATACTTACATATATTTACTACCCAGTCCACCAAAATGTATGGTATCTTTGTCTTTTAGTTGTACTTCAACATTAGGTGTCAGTTCTGTACCATTAACTGTTGTCTTATATTTTGAACCCAAATCTGTAATTGCCACTTCATAATTCTAAAATTTAAGGTAGGTACATAAAAAAGTAAAATAGAAAAATTAGAAAATGAGTTAAAGGAAAGTGAGGAAATATAATTTTAAATACAGGAAACATATTTACTGTACTCTTCTTTGATCTCTAGAGAATCTACACTGGTAATTAATAAGACATTTTGAAGAGCATGAATTTACAATAAAAGAAGAACAAGCTATTTGTTCACCTGGCTAGATGACACAATGCAATAATAATGATTGATTTCCAATTCTTTGCGACCTACTTATATTATACTTACTGAAATGCAAATTTTAGCGTGTTGTTTGCTTATGGAAGAATCTTCTTGCAGCAGTATATCACTTTTCTTTCTACCAATAATAAATACATTCTGGTTAATCAGATAGAATGCTGTATCTACAAAAAAAACAGTTATGACGTGTACTTTTTATTAATTATTATAATACTAACTATTATTAATACTTTCTAAAAAATATAACATTTTTATTTCAATACATATACACACACAATTAAAAATCTACACAATACAATTCATAAAATTTTTTGATTTGTTATGACTTATGAGTGATGACAGATTTATAAGCCGCCAGTGACATTTTGACGTCCACTTCAAATTTTGGCGGCTACTCTACTTCTTTTTAGCAGGAATGTTGCGGCACAAAATAATAAACAAACAGAATGCCCACTCTCCACGGAAAATTAAGTACGCGTATCTCCTTCGCGCAGAGGTTCCGCCATGTTTTACGAGGATTTTAAAAGGAACCAGTGTTGTTTATGTGGTGTGCATGGAAAAAAAACCAGGTTTATTTGACTTACGGCAATCATAGACATACTATACAATTATTTTAACAGTTTTAAATATAATAACATAAATATAATATAATTAAACATAAATGTAAGCAATTGCATAACCTCACAAATCATATGTTTGTGTCCTCCTAAAACATGGCGCGCGTGCTGAAAAACTTCAAAGGCGGCATCTGAGAGTGGCCCTTCTGATTGTTTATTATTCTGTGGTTGCGGAATGAAACGTTAAGACTTTTCCTTTCTTTTTTTCCAGGCAAAGAAAAGAAGATATTATAGGTACTTGTCGAATCTCGTATTCTATTTTTTTTATTCAGATATAATATATATATATATATATATATATATATATATATATATATATATATATAATATATATATATATATATATATATATATATATATATATATATATATATATATATATATATATATAAGGATCACTCAGACGAGTGGTGGGTTCTTATATCGGTCTCTAGGTGGAGAAATAAAAGACAAAGTTGATAGGCTACTTTATCTATTTTGAAGACGTTTCGCTTTCGAGTTTTGAAAGCATCATCAGTTCATCTAAAAAATTATTACAATATGAGAACCACACAATCATGGAAACGATGTTAATTGTTACCTTAAAAAGATATGTAGCAGTCAATGTTATTAACAAATATGTGAATGAAACTAAGTAAATGGACATAGTACGCTGATCTTGTATAAACAGTTAAGCAACTAACAACATATATGAACTTGTACAAAAATTAGCACAGCAATTGACCATGTGGTCCAAAATAAATTCAATGTTATTTATGTTAATAAGTGAGAAAGAACCAAGAAAATCATAAATAACCTCCAACTATTTAATGGATATTAAACTTTGATTTTAACTTTAGGTAGCATTATAAGTAATATTAATAAAATTCTACAAAATAGTGAATATGAAGTTACCGATCAAAGCCTTATGGATGTCGCCGTGAAAATGGCGTTAGATGAAACAGGAACGAACTAACCGCAAAAAGACAGCCAACCTTGAGGTCAAAATTACTTTTGACAGATCAACAAGGTGTAAATACCAACCCAGAATTTTGGGCGGTTAATTTAATTTTTTATTTTATAACTGAGTCTGGATGACTACCAGGTTGTAAAGGACAACAACAGTGAAAAAAGTTGGTAGTGTACACACAACTCCCCTCACTAACCGGCCCAAATTTACAAACCGGAGATTTTCATTCAAACTCATAATAATGTAATGACGTTAATCATGTGGCAAGTTAAATAGCCAGGTGGTTAACGATATTATAATTTCCATACAGCCCAAGGTTCAATATACTTGGAGCTGTGATTTGTAAAGGATTCTATGAATCAATTACAATGTTTGTATTATTTTATATATAATTTAAAACTCTAATCAAAGAATTTAGTGTAATGAAATGCAATATGGGTTGCATATGTAATAGTAAAATTAAGTAAAGAAATTAAGTTATTTAATTGATATATTTATTTATTTTATTTCTATTTATGTATGTATATTATTTTATGAAAAGTGGAAAAAAGTTCAACTAGTACACCTAATATGACATTAATGTAGTGAAAAGATTAAGTAGCCTAATTCTGCAAAATTAAAGCATGATATATCTGGCTCAAGTTACTTATGTCAGTTCTCTTATTCAATGCATTAGGATGTTTTAATATTGAACACATTTCCAAAAACTGTCTTTTCGCTAGATTGCGTTCAGTGGCAAGAATCTTAACTTCATTAAAATCCACTTCATGTTTTGTATTTATCGCATGTTGTGCTAGAGCACAAGTGTGTTTCGATAAGTTAATGTCGCTACGATGTGAAGTGAGACGACCTTTCAATGATCTACCAGATTGCCCAATGTAACAAAGATCGCAATTAGCGCATGGAATTTTATAAATTGTGTTCACTTGTTCCAAAGTGGACAAGGGTGTTTTAGTTTTAGAGAACAAATTTCTAACAGTTTTTGCATTCTTAACAGCAATTTTAACAGGTATATTATTTTGTTTATACAATTTAATAAGCTTCTCAGTAACTTGAGGGAAATATGGTAAGGAAGAGTAATGCGTGATAGTATTCTCAAGACCGGTATTATGCAGAACAGTGCTATTTATAGAATTATTAGAGATGTTTATAAGTTGGTCACCATCGGGTATGTCATAAATTGAGGATCCATAACTATGCGAATAAAGGTATTTATTGATGATAGAGGAAGGATATGAATTCTCTCTAGAGAATTCATATCCTTCCTCTATCATCAATAAATACCTTTATTCGCATAGTTATGGATCCTCAATTTATGACATACCCGATGGTGACCAACTTATAAACATCTCTAATAATTCTATAAATAGCACTGTTCTGCATAATACCGATCTTGAGAATACTATCACGCATTACTCTTCCTTACCATATTTCCCTCAAGTTACTGAGAAGCTTATTAAATTGTATAAACAAAATAATATACCTGTTAAAATTGCTGTTAAGAATGCAAAAACTGTTAGAAATTTGTTCTCTAAAACTAAAACACCCTTGTCCACTTTGGAACAAGTGAACACAATTTATAAAATTCCATGCGCTAATTGCGATCTTTGTTACATTGGGCAATCTGGTAGATCATTGAAAGGTCGTCTCACTTCACATCGTAGCGACATTAACTTATCGAAACACACTTGTGCTCTAGCACAACATGCGATAAATACAAAACATGAAGTGGATTTTAATGAAGTTAAGATTCTTGCCACTGAACGCAATCTAGCGAAAAGACAGTTTTTGGAAATGTGTTCAATATTAAAACATCCTAATGCATTGAATAAGAGAACTGACATAAGTAACTTGAGCCAGATATATCATGCTTTAATTTTGCAGAATTAGGCTACTTAATCTTTTCACTACATTAATGTCATATTAGGTGTACTAGTTGAACTTTTTTCCACTTTTCATAAAATAATTTACATACATAAATAGAAATAAAATAAATAAATATATCAATTAAATAACTTAATTTCTTTACTTAATTTTACTATTACATATGCAACCCATATTGCATTTCATTACACTAAATTCTTTGATTAGAGTTTTAAATTATATTATTATATAAAATAATACAAACATTGTAATTGATTCATAGAATCCTTTACAAATCACAGCTCCAAGTATATTGAACCTTGGGCTGTATGGAAATTATAATATCGTTAACCACCTGGCTATTTAACTTGCCACATGATTAACGTCATTACATTATTATGAGTTTGAATGAAAATCTCCGGTTTGTAAATTTGGGCCGGTTAGTGAGGGGAGTTGTGTGTACACTACCAACTTTTTTCACTGTTGTTGTCCTTTACAACCTGGTAGTCATCCAGACTCAGTTATAAAATAAAAAAATTAAATTAACCGCCCAAAATTCTGGGTTGGTATTTACACCTTGTTGATCTGTCAAAAGTAATTTTGACCTCAAGGTTGGCTGTCTTTTTGCGGTTAGTTCGTTCCTGTTTCATCTAACGTCATTTTCACGGCGACATCCATAAGGCTTTGATCGGTAACTTCATATTCACTATTTTGTAGAATTTTATTAATATTACTTATAATGCTACCTAAAGTTAAAATCAAAGTTTAATATCCATTAAATAGTTGGAGGTTATTTATGATTTTCTTGGTTCTTTCTCACTTATTAACATAAATAACATTGAATTTATTTTGGACCACATGGTCAATTGCTGTGCTAATTTTTGTACAAGTTCATATATGTTGTTAGTTGCTTAACTGTTTATACAAGATCAGCGTACTATGTCCATTTACTTAGTTTCATTCACATATTTGTTAATAACATTGACTGCTACATATCTTTTTAAGGTAACAATTAACATCGTTTCCATGATTGTGTGGTTCTCATATTGTAATAATTTTTTAGATGAACTGATGATGCTTTCAAAACTCGAAAGCGAAACGTCTTCAAAATAGATAAAGTAGCCTATCAACTTTGTCTTTTATTTCTCCACCTAGAGACCGATATAAGAACCCACCACTCGTCTGAGTGATCCTTATATATATATTGGATTGACGGTCGTACTCCTTTTTCCGATATATATATTATATATATATATATATATATATATATATATATATACATATATATATATATATATATATATATATATATATATATATACATATATATATATATATATATATATATATATATATATATATATATACATATATATATATATATATGTCTTCATATCAAGGCGAGATCCGTTTGTATCATAAGCTATACAAAATGAGATCCGTTTTGCAAGGCGAGATCCGATTTTGGATCTCACCTTGTATTCACGTGTATATAGTGACATCTCGATGTAACAATGATGGGGGTACAAAGAAATCGATTTTTGTCTGGACCTCATTTTGCACCCCTTTTGGTGAATTTTATATTGCAGTAGTTCCACTAAATCCGCTGTAGAGGCAGTGCGAGCGATCCGTTGTGTATATGCTAAATATACATTTTGTAGACAACCCGAGATCCGGTAAATTTGGCAACATCGCAAATGAATTTTACAGTCAGACCTCTCCCTCTCTTCGGCTTATTTCCGGTTTGAATAATATTATTTACATTATTAAAGAGCTCTGTCCAGAAAGGCGATTGTCAAATATCTCGAGAACTAGACGTGTCGGTCGTATCGAAGAAACTTAGGAATTTTTTTTTAATGGTTCTTCAAAATCTATATACTTATGCAATAGCAGGGTTCTTATTCT